ATTTATCTCAACACTTTCACTGGTCTGTAAACTGTCCGCTGCCCTTTCCTCTTTAACTGTCATAAAAAAGCAATCAATACATGGCTGGTTGAGGCGGTTTACAAAATCCCAGCACTTTCGGAGGCCAAGGCTGACATACCACTTGAGCCCGGGAGTTCGAGACCAGCCTGGTCAACATGGCGAAAGCCTGTCTCTACTAAAAATACAAACACTAGCTGGGCTTAGTGGCATAAGCCTGTAATCCCAGCTACTTCGGAGGCTGAGGCATGAGAAGTGCTTGAACCTGGGAGGTGGAGGCTGCAGTGAGCTGAGATTGTGCCATTGCACTTCAGCCTGGGTGACAGTGAGACTGTCTCAGAAAACAATCAAAAAGCAGTACTTCATTTATTACAAAAATTGAGTAGTTTTCCATGCCTAATCATGTTCAAAGGCAACATACCAGCTTTGTTAAGACTCCAAATTAGTAATCCAAACACCCATCATCTACTCCATTCTACTACCACGAATTATACAGGAAACTGAAGCACAGAGGTTGTTACTTAACCCAGGTCACACAACTACCTAGGCAGTTTGGCTAAGTTGGTGTTCTTAACCACAGCATTAGGCCATCTAATGCTCACTCAGTTCCCTATGCTTATGTGAAATCCTGGTCACTCACCTGGAGATCCTACGGAGAGCTTCTCCAGGAGATTCACCTGGAGAGCTGCGTCACGCCTATGAAGCCTGAAAATCCTGACTTGTCACTCCTGGTCCTACCCCTACTGACCTACAGTACTTGCTTCACAGTACAAAATCAGTAGTACCACTTTGTGACACAAATGAGATCCAAAGATGACCAGTTACTGCTATGGATCTAGCAAACGCTTGACCCAGTTAAGTATTCTTCTAGGGTAGTTATGTTTCTGCCAGAGGCAATGCAGGAGGTAAAGGTCAAGGGAGACATCTGTGCAAAAGCCAGTAATGGGCAAAAAAAAAAGTTATAGAAGATAGGGGTCAGCCCAAGTGAAACAAAGGTTTTTACTTTGTCCTAAAGATGAAGTAAATCCACATTCTTACCGAATTAAATTTGCATCCTTAAAGGATTACTGACTCTGGAACAGACAAAAGACATACCAATTAGGAGGACTGAGAAGTCCATACCACAGATGGTTGAGAAGTTAGACTAAATTGGCAGTGAATTAAGTGCATAAAAGTGTCAAAGACAGACCTAAAATAACTCGAATTCCTCCAAGGCAATTCACTTTGTTACTACAACCATCTGTCAATCTGAAATCAATCCTACAAATCCTTATGTGCAAACTAAAAACTGGAGAATTGCAGACGTTTGCAACATTTAATGTGAAATTAGTTTCATACTGTTTCCTGAAGATGCTGACACAGTGTAGGCCAAATGAAACATCATAGAAGAGGCAGTATATGTATATCCTTCAGTATATCTTTTACCTTCAGAAATTTTTTTGGGGGGGACAGAGTGTTGTCCAGGCTAAAGTGCAGTGGCACAATCCTGGCTCACTGCAACCTCCCCCTCCTAGGTTCAAGTGATTCTTGTGCCTGAGCCTCCCAAGTAGCTAGGATTACAGGCATGTGCCACCATACCAAGCTATTTTTTATATTTTTCGTCAAGACGGGTTTTCGCTATGTTGTCCACACTGGTCTCAATCTCCTGGCCTCAAGTAATCCACCTGCCTCAGTCACCCAAAGTGCTGGGATTTCAGGCATGAGTCACCACACCCAGCCTAAACAAATTTTATAAAAATACTGGACTGTAAGGCTGGGCTTGGTGGCTCACGCCTGTAATCCCAGCACTCTGGGAGGCCGAGGCAGATGGATCACTTGAGGTCAGTTCAAGGCCAGCCTGGCCAATGTGGCGAAAACCTCATCTCTACTCAAAATACAAAAATTAGCTGGGCATGGTGGTGCGTGACTGTAATCCCAGCTACTCGGGAGGCTGAGGCAGGACAATCGCTTGAACCTAAGAGGTGGAGGTTGCAGTGGGCCAAGATCAGTACACTGCACTCCA